GAGTAATCCACACATGTAACCTATATGTTCGTGTAGACTAATGTCACCCCAACAAAAAAAAATTTTAAAAAATGGAAAGCATGTGGATTTGTATATCTAAATGAGGACAGGGCAGAGTGTAACCTTTCAGAACATTTCTAGGAAAAATAATAATAAAAAAACAACTAAAAAAATATTCAGTAGGATGACACAGAAGAGAGACCTATAGGCACACATGGTATCAAACCAGGTTACTGAATATTTGTAGACACAAACTTGAACAAATTCTATAACCTCTCTGGGGCTCAGTATTTCCATGAAAAACAGTGGATGGGATTGGGCTAAACTGTAAGAGCTGCTAACATTCTATGACACTGTGATTTGAGGAACTCAGGAAGGCCCCACCCCCACATCTTTTTCTCATCAGTTGGGAACTCTATCATCAGGAATTTGTTTGTTAGTGCTTCTAGCGACTGTTCCTGAAATTACTACTCAAGGGGAGAAATTCTGATGAGATGAAGAGAAAATTCTCTATACTATACCTTTAAGAACAGTGAAGAGAGGCCGGGTCTCGTGTTGCTATGAAGCAGTTGAAAGGTAGTGGTGGCAACAACAAAGACAAGAACGGTTGAAGTCACAGTTTTGAAGACCCCATAAGCTTCCTCCTTTCTGATAGATGCAACCAGATAATCACATTTCCCCCCTCTTACCGTGAACACGAGGAAGCCTAGAGCAAACTCAAGTTCAGTCATGGCCACTGTGCTAAACTTTACAGTTCCCATATTTGTCTGCATTTTCCCCCGTCTTAATTTGTCTATTTCTAGTTTATCACATGTCTTTTGTTACAAGCCAGCTAAATCTTTTATGACAAGAATAAATATAATCAACACAAATAGACATATTTGAGTTTTTTCTCTAACTGTGGCGATATAAACAGAAGTATTAAATATGCATATACACTTCTCTCTGATTATTTATTTTTTAGGAATTTAATGTTAATTTGGCATGGGTAGGGGGGATAAAGATGTAACTGATCAGAATAGTTGGTAAAATTAAAGAAAACAGAAATTGCAACAATATTTGTACCGTCTTTATTTGTAAAAATAACCATCTGAATGCATGTCCATAGTATATTACAGTTAAGTACGTCATTACATTATTAGCATTCAGTAGTTGAAAAAGTATTAAACTGTGCTTGAGAAGACTCAGATTGGTTCAAAGTCATTCGCTGAACTCAGTCATTTTCCTCATTTTTACAGTCATGGCATTTACCAGAGTCATTCAACCTCAATTTACATAAGAAAACATTACGGACGAAATCCCACCGAAATCATCAAACAAGATTTTATGCTGTTACAAATATATTAGGCAAAATAGAACACTGGCACCAGATCTGTATCATCGTGCTTCGCAAAGATATATTGCACATGCTAAAGCATAAAACATGTAGACACACTACCGACCCAAATATACTTGCATTGAGCTTTTAGAACACTGCGTAAGGAACGCGTAGAATTACATTGTGTACACACACTCGGATTGTCACTATCTTGAAACGCTTTCCCCCTATAACACTGACCTATGGTTTACGGTTTGGTAAGAAGAAAGCATTTTAGCACTGCAAAATCAAACAGAACTCCTAGAGAACGCTTCGGCTTATCCATTTCCATTTCAAAGCAAGGAAAAGGGGAACTAGGGAAAAAAAAGACACTTTATACATTCAGAGAAAGGCTGAAATGAAAACTCACTGGTATTATATTGCTCTGATAACACGCAAGTGAAAAAAATACAAAACGTTTCACAGAACATTTTCAGAATATACAGATATAAAAAGGCACTCTACCTTCATAGTACAAGACAAAAGGGGAAAAAAGGGGATGAGTTCTTCAACCAACACAACAGACAAGCAAACCGAGTTGCTCAACAGTACAAAGCATAACTAGTACAGCAAATCCATGTGCTATTCTTGCTCTAATTTAATAACAAAATAATAAATCAAGCAGCTGTGTACTGCCTAAAGTACCAAAACATACTATGGTGCCCTTTTAGTAGTGATACATAGAAATCCCCTGAGCTATTTACTGTAGAATCATAGCAGATTTTAGGCAATGTGGAGACAGTAATGTATTTACCACGGACAGGCAGACGCTGGCGAACAGGTGAAGTGCAATGAAACATGATCCCTGTGGCTGTGGTTAAAATCGAGTTGAAATAGAACACACGTAGGTAAAAAGCACTAACCAGCTAAGACTCAATGAAAAGCACAATGTTTTCTGCTTTGTTTTTTTCTTAGAAAGCTATGTTGCAAATCTAATGTTATCTCTAAGAGATGTACTTGACAGATACAGAACTCGGAGTTTTTAAAGTCATTTCTCAAAGGAAAAGAATTGGCCAGGGGCAGCGGGGAGGGAGCAAGAGGAGAGAGGGATTCAACGAACAGTTCAGAGTAAGCATGACTTCACATGGCTCCTTTGTCCGCCTTCTTTCTGTGAGGGAGTCAAAAGCAGCTCCGCGGAGATGAGGCCCAGGCCTGCATCCTGCTGCAGCGCTCCTGCCCTCTGTGAGGCTCCGCGGGGCCCTGTCACCGCTGCGCCACCATTGAAGCGGCCGTCTCTTTGCCTGCTTTCTACGCCAACGGAGCAAGATTTCCATTCACTTCTAGAAAAAGACACCGCAGTGTATCGTGCTTCTCAGCACTGGCTCTCTCTCATGCTCAGGGTTTTGGTAACGATGAGGTCATTATTACGCATGAGCAATGTACCTGCTGCAAAAGAATTCATCTTCTCTAAACAAACAAAAAGGACAGAGGGAGGAGGGGGATGCAAACACAATGTCGGAAGTCCTCTGGACAAGCGGTCCTCCGTGAAGAACCCAACGTGAGCTTCTCACTCAGTCTGGGTATTAAAAGAGTGAGACTAAGTCTCTTGCAGTTAGATGAGAAACAGAATACGGAATCTGTATTTGATCCAGATACGGTCGAACGCTGTTGTAAAAATATCTCACAGACACGAGGAAACTGCAATTTCCAGGGTGAAAGGGGCCCAGTTATCAGATGGTTGGTACTCCCCTTACACAACACTTCCTTCCCCCAGTGGGAATAGCGCGAGCTGGTGATTTTTATTTCTTCTCTTGGCACAAGTGTCCACCCACTGATGCAGCTTCCCGGGCGTTTACTGGGACCACGTGGGATTTCGGTGCATTTGGGATCATTTCTGGACTTTTCTTTTGGCCACGTCTGTGCATATGATCCACAACGCACTTCAGGCTCACCTGGCAGGAGAGCAGAAAGACGCCAATGTCTTCTAAGCTCTACGTTGGCCACAGACAGGGGCTGAGTGATGGGTGCTGTGCCCTCTCCAATCCACGTGGGAGATCATGAGGATCCGCTGAGACCTTAGCAGTGGAAATGCCGGGCGTGGTCCAGGGCTGCTGGCCGGCCCAGGGCTGCTGGGTGGCCCAGGGTTGCTGGGTGGCCCAGGGCTGCTGGCCGGGCCAGGGCTGCTGGCTGGCCCAGGGCTGCTGGCCGGCCCAGGGCTGCTGGCTGGTCCAGGGCTGCTGGCTGGCCCAGGGCTGCTGGCTGGCCCAGGGAGGGCCCTGTATGTTTTTCTGCTTTTTTGTTTTTCCAAGTAAGACACACAGCAATGAAAAGGGAGAACGAACAAAGGACGCTCCCTCGGCATTTGTTTCATTTCCAATAAATATAAACACATTTACATCAAAAGTACATGAACATTTTCTCTAGTCTGGCAAAAAAAAAAAAAAAAAAAAA